CTGACAGCACTTCCCTCATTTTTTTCTTCACCTCTTCGAAGTTGTCAAATCTCTGTCCTTTCATGTCCCTCTGCATTCTCGGAAACAAAAACAAATCACATGGATCATGGTCAGGTGAGTCGGATGTGTGGGGCAAGAGAGGCATGCTACTTTTTGCCAAAAACTGACACACTGAGATGGCTGTGTAAGCAGGTGTATTGTCGTGGTGGCAAAACCAGTCCCGTCTGCCACAAATCAGGCCTTTTTTGTCACACACTGTTACACAATCTTTTCAGAACCTTAAATAGAAAGCTTGATTAACAGTCTGACCTGCTAGACAAACTCCAAATGCACTATGAGTAGACATTTTCATCCATTCAGGAGGTTGACAGACATCCAAAATGAGGTTTGTCATCGATTCATATTTCACCTTTTTTGAAATGAGAAAACCACTCAGAAGCTTGAGTTTTTCCCATACCACTGTCCTTGTAAGCTATGTCCAACATCATAACAGTTTCTGTGGCATTTTCCCTGAGCAGGAAGCAAAATTTCACAGGCACATGCTGTTCTCTTAAATCGCCCATCACAAAAAAACAAGGTTCAAGTGCAATTGCTTTTACGGAAAATTTCACTGTAACAGAGAGAACCTTCCCAAGTGACACCACTGGGTGCACTAACTCAGAGCAAGTTGCTTGATGCTCACCTAGCAAGAAAAATGCATACCACAAAAGCTTTGCTCTGCCCAGCGCAATTCTGGTTTTTTGGGGTACCCCTTGTATTATAGAGTAAAAGAAATTCAGACATACCTAACTAGATACAATGACTGACGCTTACTTATTCTTCAAACAACTGTGGCAGGCCTGGTGGCACTGTTGAGTAAGCATTGAACTACAAACCACAAGGTAAGTGGTTCAAACTTAGGAGCTACTCCATGGGAAAAACATGGCGCTATCTTTTTCAGTTCCCTTAAAGATTTACAGGCTTAGAAACCCTATGTAAAGTCACTATGAATTGGAATTGACTCCATGGAAGTGCTCTGAGTGGTATGCAGAATCATGCTTCCCAATGATGTCCACATTCCAATCCCTGGAACCCTTGGCTATAAGAGTATTATTACCTTAAGAAGAAAAAAAAGGATTTCAATGGAGTGATTATAGTAAGGACTTCCAAAGATTATCATGGATTTTCCAAGTGGACCCCAATATAATTTCTTGGTTCCTTAAAAGCAAAGGACCTTTCCCAGCTGTGACCAGAAGGAATTGTAACTATGAAAGAATGATCAGAAACACAGCATTGCTTAGTGCTGTCTAATGAATTATTTGATATGGTACTTAGAGCCATAGTCTTTGTGACTCTGGCACAGTGCTTGGGTGGAACTATTTAAATAAGGTGCCTATGACCTACCAAGGGTATTGGGTAACCTGTCTACAATGCAAAGAAACTGTGTGATAGGTTAATTGTGCCAACCAGGCCAATAGGAACATGTGGGATGTCAGGTTGCAATTTGATTGGAGGGTAGAGATAAATGGCTCTGGAAGGCCCATCCCTGTCTCTCTTGCTCTCTGGTGATTGGAGCGCGCTGGAGTGTCCATGATGCTGCTATAGCTAAGTTCTCCGCCTCAACCACCTGTGGGCCAGGCCAGACTGCATCCTATTGCTAGAGTGAGGCTCCTTCAAGACCTGCTTTGCCATGCTGCTGGTGCATACTGCTAGTACGTACAATGGCTTCAGCTTGAGGCTGGTGGATTCTGTTGCCTTGTGTTCGAGATCCCATCTGGGCCTGCTTTGCTAAGCTCCCGAGCTATTGACTGTTGCTGACCCACCCTGCTGCTGGTTGCCTGTGGGAAGTCTCTGCTTGCTTGCCTTGCCCCAGGAAGGACTCTGCTGTCTGCTTCCTTGACCTTGGACCTGGCAACCAATGTGAGTTGAAGGACTTCCAGTTTATTAACTCTTCCATAGAAATGAGTTAAACTGAACCCTCTGTACTGATTTGTGGACTAATTATCTGTTATATTCCTTCTTGCTGTATAAATTTATCCTCTTATTCATATATAAAATCATGTGTCCTGGTCTCATTTCTCTAGAGCACCCTGTCTAACAGAAACTGCTTGTGGGATCGTTGTAAAGGACTGGTCAATTTTGCCATCTGTGGTAGTTACATAATCATAATTTGTCAACTTGAGAGAATTAAGAGTCAAAGGGTGGAGTCTAGTCTGTCAAGTAGGTCATAGCCAGTGAGGTCTCTGTGTGGGCATGGTCTTCTCCTGAGGATTCTGGGAACTCCTGTATTCCTCCTTGGAGGCAGAAGACTCTCTCTCAGCTCATTCCCTGGGAGGCATTGCAGCTGACAAGACACATGGAACGATGCTAGTGCTCTAAGATGGAGAGACCACGTGGAGACCCCTGCCAATGCTGAGATGCTTCTACCTTCACTGGATCCACAAGACTTTTCACCCACTGGCCTGTGATCTTACTGCAATCATTGCATATTGAGTCTGAAGAGAGATTTATAGTCTGGCACTGGACATAGAGGCTAATGTCGGACTTATGGGCTTTGACTGGGCTGCTTTCTTAATATACAATTGCTCTTGTATATAAAGTTTTCTTATACACAGATGAGTGTCTATGAATTTGTTTCTCTAGTCAACCCAGACTAACACACCATCCTGCTAGGCTTTAAAAGAAATCAGTCCCAGAGCAGAGAGAGAATCTCATTACGATCAAGACAAAAGAGGTAGAAGCACAGTCTATCCTTTACACCTAGGGTCTCTGGGCTGACAACCTACTAGACCAAGGAGCCAGAGCTGTACAGCTGGAGGCAATGCTAGATAAGAAGTGGCAGGAAAATGGCAGCAACAGAAGACTGACCCATGGAGCAGGTGGCTGCAATGGGTGTGCTGACCCACGGAGCAAGAGAGCTGAGCACCTTCAAGAAGGTGACTTGAAGTCACTTGAAGTCACTTGAAGACTTCCTCTGGGAAGTGCCGACAGAGCTAGGCTTGCTGACCCACAGAGCAAGAGAGCTGAGTCCCTCCTGGTCTAGGCTTACAGGCAGACTGGGATACCTCTGGGAACTTATTGGCAGAGATAAGGAATTTATAACACTTGCCTGAGGAGGCCAGAAGCCAGGGAAAGGGGATAATGGGCATGGGAGAGAGAGGTTTTCCTGCGAGGACAACTGAAATACTATCCTGACCAAAGAACTGTATTCTGAGTCATACCTGATCCTGAATTGTAACCTGCTACTTCCCCATAAATCCCAATCACTGTGTGTATGGTCTGTGAATTTTGTGTAGCCATTGCAATACATATCTGAACCCAGCCGAGGAGAGTACCCTGGGAGGGACGGCTGATGTCAGAATTGGTAAAAGGTCAGAGTGGAGATGCCTGACCTCCTCTTGCTTTGGGCTGATGCTGTTGATAGTGATTTGCTTCCTTCCCTCCTCCTGAAGTTAGACCAGGTCTGGACAATGCCTGATAAAGAAAGGATATCCTGACCCAAGGAACGTGGGTAGCTGAGAAGACAAAGAAACAGATTCTCTTTTACAACCTTCAGGAACACAGCTCAGCCAGTACCTTGATTTCTGCCTCCTGAGACCTCTGACCTACAGAGCTGCATGATAACCATGTGCTGTTTTAAACCAGGAGACTTGTGGCAACTTGTTAGAACAGCAGTAGAAACCAAATACACAATTTTTTTTTTTTTGAAAAAGTATTTTGAAGAAAATCAGGAAGATTTACAGATGGAAGTCGACATACTGAGGAATTGGTCCTTTTTGTGGACGAACAGGGGGGCTTTTTACATTTTCTTATTTGCTAGGGACACATACTGAAGTATTTACACGTGAAATGATACAATATCTGGGATATGTTTTAAAATAATGTTGCTCTTGTCAGGTGCCGTCGAGCTAGTTCCCACTGATAGCAACCCTGTGTACAACAGAACCGAGCCTGGGCCAGACTCCTAGGTCTTCTGATGTCTGAGCCCACTGCTGCAGCCACTGTGTCCATCCATCTGGTCCAGGGCCGCCTTCTTTCTCACTGCCCGTCTACTTTACCAAGCATGATGTTCTTTACCAGGGACTGGGTTCTCCTGACAATGTGTCCAGAGGCGCACCACACTACTGCTGCTCTTAAGAATGAAACCACACTAGGAGAGGTAGAAACATAGAATTTTGGTAGTCTGCAAGTACTGAGATCCAGTCAATGCTAAAGCCAGCTCCACCCCTTCTTTACCATGTTTTAGTCAAGTAAACATTAAATTCTTCTTTTTGGTTTATGTGAGTTTTGAGTTACAGTCTATCACTTACTTATAACCTAAAAGAAGCCTAATATAATGTCCTTAGTATTTAATTCTGTTAAAAAAAACTCAGGGACCAGGGTCATTACCTAATAGTAACACTTTGAGAGACTCAAGTCAGTCCTTAAACACATAGCACCCTCTACCCCTCAAAAGCCCAAACCTAGGGCCATCCAGCGGATGCCAACTCACAGCAACCCTCCAGGAGAGAGTAGAACTGCCTGTGGGGTTCCGAGCTTTACGGAAGCAAAGTGCCTCATTTTGTCTCATGAGAGACTGGTGGATTTGAACCGCTGACTTTTTTTTAGTATTCATGTGCTTAACCACTGTGCTACTAGGGCTCCCTTCTCTCAATCTAGGATAATTCTTAAAAGGCTTATGGCTCTCAGTATAACTCCCCTACTGCCAGTTCCTTCCCTTCAGGGTGAAGCAGGCCTGTATTAGCAAAATCAAATAGTAGTATACTGATCAGCAATTATTTCATTCCCATTCCTGATCTGGCTGGTTTTAGACTAGGGACACTTTTCCATTGGTTTTGCTTTAAAAAAAAAAAAAAGACCAACCCAGTCACGAATCTTCAACTCAGCTATATTACAAGAATAAGCTAGGAAAAAGATTTTTAGCAAGACTAAGCAGCTAGAATTATCACATAATCAGTAGTTTGCATGCTATCCCAGGAACAAAAAGGCTGATAAAAATCACAGTCAAGTTCAAGCATTAATCCGTATAACTTGTCATACTTTATTCCTTATATCAATAGGTTAAGAAAGTAGAAATTTCCCAAGTACTGATTTATAGGGAATGTTTATAAGTGGAGCACAAAATGTTCAGTTTTACTTAGCATTCAGTGATCATAAAACTTTAATGCTTATTGTAAGTGCAATAACAATTTGATACAATATAGCTAAATACATGCAAAACCTGTCTATCCTGAACTACAAGTCACTTCCACAGCCTGTGAGTTTAGTCAAGTATACATTTCCACAATGAACAAGAACAAATATGGTCATAAAACCCTACCCCAAATGCTTATCCTGACAGCAGCTTTTTAGCAATGCCATTGCTAACACTGAAAGCATGTATTTTTAAGACTTCATCTGATCTGAAAGAGCAAGTACTCCAAAAACGTGACAAACAGTATGTATAAACCTCAAAGGATTTCAATTTTAAAAGAGCTCCCAACTTTACGAAACATTCATACAAAAACTTTGTTTCTCAAAAAAGTTACCATTGCTATCTCAAGACTATTAAAGGATCTTTTAAGTCAGATAAATGTTCTTACAAGGCCTGCATTTTCCTACATGATCTTCTACTGAAGAGAAATATAAGTCAGTCCACTATCTTTAACAATCTCCCAGACTCCTGTTGTCTAGAAACCTGAGAATACATGAAATCCAGCTCTAGTCACGGTAGAGACGGCAAAGGCTCAAAGACTCTGAACACGTACATACTACTTTGTCATTTAGATGGTCAAAAGACAGCACGCCATTTAATGTAAGTGTGGTCATTAAAAACCCATAGTTAATTCAAGCACATAATAAATAAAGGTAGGTAATTGAAGGCTCACATACCAATCTACAATCAAAGATGTGAAAATAAACGCTGAACATTCTGTGCTTCGCCACCGTTCATTTGCATGGTTAAATATCAGAATCTTACAGTACAAATTGCAGTTACCATATAGAGAGACAAGGCGGCTTCAGAAAATACAAAACACTGTCATGATCCATAGTTTGCTTCGTCAAATGCTTTTCTAGCTCTTTTCAATTCTTCATTCATAGTCAGCAAGTCTTTAACCCTAGCAAACTTCCTCGGGTCCTTTCGAATCAGAAAGACAATATCTTCAACTTGTACTCGACCTTGTCTTCCAATTGACATTGCCTTGTGAGTCTGTTAGAAGTAAACACAGTAAAGTCAAATTTTCAAAGTCTACTAGTTCAATGTTTTAAGTTTCATTGACAAAACCGCTGGTGAGACTGAAGATTCTACTAACCACTGCATTATTAGAGGTGAACTATCTTTTAGTCATGTCCTTTGTCCCTTTTCTAAGGTAGTAACCATGCTCTTTATGTACTTTTTTAAATTATGGCAAAAATATACATAATAAGACATTCTAATTCAACACCTTCCACATGTATAATTCAGTGTCATTGATAACACTCTTCAAATGTTTTTAATACTTTATAGGCTTTAAAAATAAAGACCATTAAAATCATCAAATTTGATATTGCCTTTTTTGTTTTTGATATATATTTTAATTGCCCTCACCTGCATAAAACAATCTCCTAATTTTTCTCTGCCCAAGCATCCATTTCATTTTATGCTTTAAATCCTCTTCTTTCTCAATGGCTAATAAATACTTGTAGATTTCCTTAAAACCAAACAAATAAATCTCACCCCCTATTCTCAAATACTTGGGGAGAGAGACAGGGCTTTCAACTCCATGAAGTTACAGTCGCAGAAACTCTGGTGATTTGGTTGTTATTATTATATACTTGGCCTACACCACAGCACAGGTTTGGGCAATGAATGTACAAATGTGCTTTACACAATTGATGTATGTATGGATTATGACAAGAGTCGTATGAGCCCCTAATAAAACGATTAAAAAAAAGGAATAAAAATAAAATGTAGTACCTTTTGCTATAACAATAAAATCATACAGTATATTAATACATGAAATGTAAAAAAAATTCAAGTCAAAATGGGGGAAGGGCATATGTCTTGGAAAAGGTCATTACATATCTGTTGATAGGAAAATGGGGAGGAGCAACTTCCCATCGGGCGAAAAAAATGCTTAACAATACTTGAAATCCAGGATAGGAAAATGGACAGAGAGAGAAACTGGATTAATGTACAAGATGAGTACAAGAGCACAGAAAACGTTCTAACACTGATGGTAGTGATGATTGTATAACTCTTCTTTTTTACAACTGTTCTTAATATGATTGAACTATTGACATATACAGTGTGTGATCTATACACCAATAAAACTATTAAGTAGAAAATTTTAAAAGAAAAAAAAAAGCACAGCTTTATCACAGCATGACTTCTTATGACAAAAAAAGGAACTAAGTATGAAGTAATAAAGGACTAGGTTTAAAAAGAAAAAAAAACTAACTTCAAAAAAGCTGAATACACTCATTCAGTTAATACTATGAATCTATTAAATATGTAACACTTGGAGTATTCCACAGTGATACAGGGAAAATGCTCTATCATTGTCTCAATTTAGAAAGTATTAAAATCTCCTGGAAGAAAATAAAATCTGTATTCTTCCACTAAAGAGACTGATATTTTTGTATTTTTTAAAATAAGAATTTTACTTTTTATCCTTTTTACTTTCTATAAAGTTGAGATCATATGGCATAGTCTCAAAGCCTGCATTTCTATGTAGTAGTTACTACTGTAAATTAGGAAAAAAAAGTTTTTAATGCATTCTCTGACCTTGTAATTTTGTTGCTCTTATTCTGTACTAATAATCCAAAACACAGGATTAAAAAGTCATTAAAAAATAATCACAAGCCAAATTTGTTCATCTTAATCTTGAAAATAGATCTAATGAGGAGGAATTTCATGAATATGGTCACTGAAGAAAAACTGGTTAAAAAACAATAGATATTACAATAGAAAAATGGTTTAGTAAATTAGAAAATAACTTGATGAATTTCATGTCATTACTAGAATAACTGATAAAAACGCAAACTATATATTGTAAAACTGAGTGAAATTAAAAAACCAAACAAAAAAAAAACAACTGAGTGAAATGAATGCTTACCATGAATATTTACCATGATCACTACAATGTAAAATACTATGAACCTTTTAATAAAATCTCCATGCTAAATAACAGATTATAGAACATATTTTGAGGATTTTATCATTATGACTTTATAAAACAAAACTCACAGAAAGGGGTAGAATATGCACAGATACCCTAACCACTGCCCTCAAGTGGCAGTGTATAAGTGCCCCACAAGGCTACCAAAGCTAGCATCTTTCTTCCACGGAGTACACTGATGGGTTTGAACCAGTAATCTTTGGTTAACAGTGAAGCACTCTAATTACTGACCTACCAGGTCTCCATCTACACATACATACTACTACACAGACCCCCAAATTCCAAACTCACTGCTACTGAGTTAATTCCAAATCCTCGCTTCCTTATAGGATAGAGTGGTACTGCCCCATAGGGTTTCTGCGAAGTTGTTGTGGGGGTTCCAACTGCTGATTTGCTGGTTAGCAGCTAAAGCAAACCCCACTACACCACTAGGGCTCCTTCTACTAAGTGTGTGTGTTTATACAATACACATAGAGTCAGTGTGCTAGTTGGATGATTTTATGTCAACTAGACACTCCTGGCTAGAGGTGGAGTCAAACACGTCAATCAAGTGGTAGCCTGATGACACCTTGGGGGTGTGGCCTTTTATATGAAAGTGAGGGGCTCTGGGAACTGCCTCTCCTCTGCCACTTTGCCTTTCTCCTTGCTGGGACTTCACTAGGACTCTGTGTGCCACGAGGGGCAGCCCCATGTGGGCTGCTGGACTCTGAGAGCTGTCAGTGTCCTGCCATGCTTCCATCAATCTTGGATGCACGTGGCTCTGTACTCACTGGCTTGTGAGCTCCCTGCTTCACCTTTCAGTGTCACCAGTCTGCAGCTATGGGAGTCTGAAGATGGCCCAAGTTGCATTGGACTTGAATTGCACTGAGCTGGGATGCCTTCTTGATGTGAACTTGCTCCTTGATAGAAAGCTTACTTACACATATGAGTGTCACTGGATTTGTTTCTCTAGACAACCCTGCCTAACACAGTCATGCATAATGATAAATGAAGTCCCTGGGTAATGCAAATAGTTAACACTTGGCTCCTAACAAAGTAGTAATTTAAAAGTCTAGTAATCAACTTCTAAAAAATCAGCCACCCGATTTTCATGTGTAAAAACCCTGACACAGGTCACCATGAGTTAGAACTGACTTGATGGCAACTATTAGTTGATTTTTTTTAAATGATGAAGAGCAACCTGTACCAGGGAGGGGCAGTCTTCCTCAGGCATTTACCTGAGTGTGGCCTCAATGGACAGTATCATACTGGGGGCCATGAGCCATGTCTTGACTGTCTTGAGGAAGCCCCTGAACAAACCCCTCTGTCTTACATAATACCTACGTCCTAGTCATGGCCCAGATCGAGGATTCCCACCAGTAACTATGCTATACTGATCTGCTGCCATCACCTTCATGTGACCATCTCCTTTGACTTCCCATGTCCCTTTCAGAGCTACATATCCCAGCAAATCCTTGGATACCACTGTGACCTTGGGCTAAGGGTCTCCTTCATCTGATGATATGCCACCTGTTTAAGACTCAATAAATGTTCTATTAAACAAAAAGAATCTGTAATTCCATTCAACAGACACTCAGGTACACTTCAAAACCAAACTCACTGCCATCAAATAGATTCTGACCCCTAGCAACCCGATAGGACAGGACAGAACTGCCCCTGTGGGCTTCGCAGATTGTAACTCTTTACCAGAGTAGAAAGCAAGCCTGCTGGTGGTTTGGAAGTGCAGGCCCTGCCGTTAGCAGCCCTGTGTGTAATCACTATACCGCCAGGGCTCCGGGCACTCAGGTAGATCATTTAATTGCAAAGAACGCCATGAATTATACTCCTGCCGAAGTTTAAAATCTCAAATCTTTTCCTCAATGTACTAAGACCAATTACCAGAGACTCTTACCATTTCCGTGATGAACTCTATGACAAGGTCTTCAAGGATATCCACTGACTCCGTGTAAGGATTCTGGTCATCTCCAAACCCATACATCATACATCTTACTGTAAAGAACAAATAATCACTTTTTAATCCGCTGAAAATTATTTGTAACAAAATGTATTTTTTCCAAGTAAATGAGAACTGAGTTAAGTTACAGATAATATTGTTATAAGTATATATTTACATCATATATTCACTGTCTCCAAGTATGGATTTTGGTATAAAGCTTTTTTTTATGTTCAATTTTAACCTAGCTGCATCTGCAGTAATTCACTTTTCTTTCCTTTTTTTATTTTATTGGGGGCTCTTACAGCTCTTACTTATCACAATCCATACATATATACCCATTGTGTCAAACACATCTGTACATTTGTTGTCATCATCTTTTTCAAAACATTTTCTTTCTACTTGAGCCCCAGGGGTATAAAAACTTTTCATCACAGTCTTATGACCAACTGTTCCCACTTAAGCCTCCAACATGCTACTTCAAATCACCCCCTAGGCCTGCCAAAGCTTGACAGTAAAAAAGGCCAAAAATGAGTTAACACACTTGAACTGTGGTGCTGGTGAAGAAAAGTGAACATACCAGGGACTTCCAGAAGGACAAATCTGTTTCAGAGGAGGACAGCCAGGATGGTCCTTAGAAGCAAGGATGGCAACTTTTGTGTCTCACTTACTTTGGGCATGTGATTAGGAGTGACCGAGTCCTGGAGGAGGGGACTGTACTCGGGAAAGCAGAGGGTTAGAGAAAACTACGAAAACCACCAGTGAGGGAGAGGAACACATTGGCTGCTGCCAAGGACTCAAGCATAGCTACTACTGTGAAGACGGTACACAAGACCGGGCAGCATTTCTCCCTGGGCTGTTATGAGTCAGATCCAACTCGCTGGCATCCAACAACAACCTCTAGCAAAACTCCCCTTTCCTGACATTCTCTGCAGAATACCTCTGAGTCAGAAACTGCCAGGGACATGCAGAGCAGCAATGGCTTGCCCTTTATGGGGGTGTTTCCTGTTGGGGTGCAAGGAGTGTGCAGTTGGGCAATGGATACTATACCATAGGAACAAGGGCATAAGAGAAAGTGCTCCAATTACTTTTTACAGGAAAAGGGTAATCAAGGGAAAGCAGCTTACTACAAAGAACCTTGCCATTTCAGTTCCTAGATCATTGTCGCTGAGATCGCAGCCTCATCTGATGGAACCATCGATAATGCACAAGTCTAAAGTAGATCAATAAAAATAACTAACAGTTAATGCTCCCAACTCACAGTGACAACTCACAGTGACGCCAGGTGGCAGAACTGCCCCGCTGGGTTTTCTTGGCTGTGATCTTTATGGAAACACATTGCCAGGTCTTTCTCCCGTGGAGTCAATGGATGGATTAGAACTGCCAACCTTTCATTTAGCAGCAGAGTGCTTAACCATTGAGCCACTTTAATTCTTAAAAAAATAAAAACACCTCACTTCCACCGAGTCAATGCCAACTCATAGGGACCCTACAGGCAAGGGCAGGACTGTCCCTGTGGGTTCCCATGACTAACTCTATGAGAGTCTCTGACCACTGTTCTCCTGTAGCCTCCCAATGAACGACTAACCCTGCAGTCAGCAGCCCAACATGTCATCACTGTGTCAGGGGTCCTCTCCTTAAACTTACACGGCCCATAATACATGAATATTGCCCTAACATATACAACTCACTTAATCCTCTCAATTCTTGGAGAGAGGGACTATTTTTATCCTTAGTTATAGGTGAGAGAATTAATGTAAATGGCTAAGTGATTTATTCAAGGTCACACAACTCGTAAGGGATGGAATGTGAATTTGAACCCAGCTGATTGGCTCCTATAGTCCACTCACAGCATATCATGCTTCTCGGGAATTTAGAGCACAGGAGCTCCAGTATGAAGTCCTTATCCTATAGTCCATAAACTCTGAGATTGTCCATGCATGGTTTTTGAGAAGTCCTTGGGCCCTCTTGAAACTGCATACAAAAATTTTACACATTATCTGTATATGTGCTTAATTTTTTATCAGATTCTCAAAGGGGTATGTACATTGTTCAAATGTTAAGACACGATCCTAATGTTGGAAACGTTTTGTATCTTAATCTGTGTGCTAGTTACAAGTATATGTGCCCATACAAAATTCATCAAGCTGTTTCCTTAACACCTCTATGAGTATACAAGTATTGTATGAGTATACAAGTTTTATATATAAAAAAATAGAACTTCTAGAAAATTTCTAAAGACAAATATGGACACATTAAGAATAAGTGATATGTCTGGAAAAAGAAAACTAGTAGAAATGCAAACAGAAGAAAGTGGGTGAGTCACAGGGAAGAAGAGGGGTGACTTGGAAGTAGTCAGCCTGAGATAGAGAAGAAGCCCAAGGGCTTTCTTGGCAAGGGATTTTGGAAGATAGAGGAAGAAGAGAAACAGAGGCAATACTTCTCTCTCCTTTGTAAACTGATTTCCCTTTTTGGTCCCCCCACCTGCCTTTTTTTTTTGGGGGGGGCGGGTGTTAAGACTTGAAGAAACGTTTCAAAAACAGTCCCAAACTCACTGCCGTGGAGTGAACTCAGACTCACAGTGACCTGAAGGGCAGACCAGAACTGCTCCTGTGGGTTTCCAAGATTGAAACTCTTTAAGGGGTTACAAGTCTAGTTTTTCTCACAAGGCGTGGCTACTGATTTCGAACTGCTGGCTTTGAGGTTACCAACCCAATCTGTTACCACTATGCCACCAGAACTCTGGTGGTATAAAACATAAACAGCTGGGGGTATAAAAACAGTACAGCGTTCTCATATATATGGATGTATCTAGTTCCCCCTTAAAATGTTTTATAAAACTGTAACTTTTTAAAATCCAAGCAATTAATCTTGGTATAATAAGTACAGAACTTATTCAGATGACACTGGTTTTTCCACAAATATCTTTGTTCCAGAATCCAATGTAGGCTCCCATACTGCATTTAGTTGCCATGCCTCTGTAATTTCAGCCCATCTGTGACAGTTCCTCAGTCTCTCTCATTACCTTAACACTTTTGAAGAACGCTGGGTGCGCCTGAGGCTTTCTGCATGTGGTGCAGTGAATGATTTACTGTGGCTCTTCTAGACAGTCTCTATAGCCACCATGAGATTTTTTCCTAATGGGTCCAGGTAAGAGAAGGTGGGGAAAGACATTGATGGAATTCAGCTGTCAAACAGTTCACTGTGATTGCCAACCTGCTGGGTATGAAATGACCCAACTCAGAAGCAGGAAGAGCGGAGGCTCTCACTACTAGCAAGGGAAAAAAGTCAGAATGGAGCATGCCCCTTTGCTCCCGAGATCCCTGCGCACCGAGCCTCCTTGATCCAGGGAGCAGATTTGACACCATAGGACCAGCAGAGAAGCTGCAACAGCAGTGGAACAGGAGCCAGAAACATGAGGCAGAGTGGTGGACTTCATAGCCCACGGAGCAAATAAAGCTGTATGCTTTGGGGCTTGTGGAGTGGGTGCCAGTGAGCACTAACTGTGGGAGCTGGGTGTGCTGACCCACAAAGGTGAGTGCCTTTGGGTTGAGGGTTATAGTAGAGTGGCATGCCCTTTGGGCATTTATTGGCAGCCCTGAAAGAGCTTTGTAACACTGCCTGAAAGGCAGAGGCCAAGTCAAGAGGACAGGTAAAGGGTTGCCTGTAAGCATGGCAGAGAGGACACTGTTTTGACTGAACTGTATCCCGAGCATTTCTCACCTGAACTGTAACTTGTTCACTTTTTAAATAAACCCCATAATCGTGAGCACTGGCTGTGAGTTCTGTATGGTCACTGCAATAAATTATCGAACCCAGCAAAAAAGTAGAGTGTGGGGAAAGTAGAGTGCTGTGGGAGGAAGTGGTTGGTGTCAGAATAGGGTTAAGAAGGCTAGGATGGAAAGCAAGTCTGGACCCTGCCTTGAGGCACTCAACCTTGGGAGCCAGAGGAAGCTGGCAGAGGTCAGATGGGATCCCATGTTGTTTCTTTACTTTCCCATGATTGGACTGAAGTTATTTTTTACTGGGGAAGACACCTGTCCTTCTCAATGCATCCTATCAGGAGTTAAATAATGTTAATAGATATTTCTGATGACATTTGTCATTAATTTGTGGTAACTGACAAAACTCTCCTGTAAACATACTATTTCCTTTAAATATATTGAGAGAGCTATTTCTCACTCTCATTTTGATAGGCAGAACTCATCAGTAACAAAATCTTTCACTGATAGGGTAACTTATTACACTAGACAAGAAGTATGCAAATTATATTGACTGAAGGGTCTGTAAAGGTATTAACAAATTCCATGAAACACCTTCAAGCATATGTTATATTAACTTTTTTTTTTAATTGAAGGTTCCTTGTAGGCCCAAACAAGTGGCTGTCCGTGACCAGGGGGGGAGGGGGGAGCAGCCGGAGCGGGGAGGGTCATCTTAATTTTCCACTTACACACAGTACTAAATGAACAAGCACAGATTCACTACTGCAGTTAGAAGTTGGCAGCCTTGAAAAAGGGGGATAGGGAGTGGTCGTTAAAAAAATACAGCCCCCTTCCCAATTGTGGTGCCTAGAGGGGGTGTGGAGAGACTTGGTCTGTTTCAACAGAGGAATGAAAGATCAGAAGCCATTTGGGAAGGCCAGAGCCATCGGGAGGGAAGTGGGTTGGTCCGGGAGGGGGTGGGGAGGCTGTTTGGCAACTGGGGCGAAGGGATTGCCCTCCTCCAGCCTATCCGGTCTGGCAGGAACGGGGCAGCCTGCAGCCCACGCAGACAGGTTTGGGGCTGCCGAATGCTCCTGGCAAGGGTGGAGGGGGCTCACAAGGGCTTGCCCTCCAGGGAGATGACGGCGCTGCCCCCCAGCTTCTAGGCCAGGGTGCAGTGGTCCTTAACCTCCTCGTAGCAGTTTGCTTGTAATTCCTGTTTGATTCCCGTCAGCTTCTTCTTGATGGCATCTTTGGAGCTGGCATAGATCGTTTTGCTCTTAAGAGGTGCACACTCGGGGGCCCAGAGGATGAACGCCAGGTCCTCCTTCTTGCTCTCCTTGGTCTCGTAGGTGGCATCATACAGAGCGTAGCGGCAGTCCTTGTCAGGCAGCATCTTGACAAAGGTGGCGTAGGGGTCGTCCACAGTCTGGCCTACATCCCCAACCAGGATCTCCTTGCCCTCCTCCAGGATGATGATCTTCTTGTCCTCGCTCAGGCAGAAGAGCACAGCCTTCTTGCGCTTCTTGACCTCCTCCGGTGTCGAGGATTTGTGCACCTTCATGTCATTGAACACCCTGATGACACCATCGGAGACAGCTACACCAGAGGCCATGTTTCCGGAAGTGAAGAGTATGGCAAAGAGAGGCAGAGAAGATGGGAGCCGCTGCAGCTGCTACCTGGACTCGACTGAATGCGGCCTCTCCCCATATTAATTTTTTTTTAAAGCATGTTAAGGAGTACAGGTCTTGATCAGTGAGATAAATGAAGATTCAGGTAAGACAAGAAGGCTGTGAGGATTCCAAATTCTTGTCTTCATAAAAATAAAGCAATCCGAGTAGAAAAAAGATCTCTGCTAAGAACTGATTGTGCATCATCACCCCAGGGAGCCCCTCCTGATGCTGACGCAAGAGTAATGAAAACCACATACAAATGGGGTACACAGCATCAGAGGAGTGATTGAGCAAGCTCTGCTTTAGGAGAGGAACAGAGAGCCAGAGAAAGATTTGAGTGGTTATTTTTAAAAGAAGACATGCTGACTGTGAAGTAAAATTACCTACTTAATGGCTCTTCTAATCATTTCTTTATAACTCCCACCAAATGATTAGATGGAGCCAGGCAAATAGGGTATATGAAACACTAAAGGGCATCAGTCAGTTTTACCATTCTTCTGGGTGTATATAAGTGAGTCATCTCAGAAGCAGGAAAGAAGGAACATCCCAAGAAAGAAGAGCCAGGAGTGGAGCACTTGTGAGATCCCTGCCTGAAGTGGCAGTCAGCAGAGGCCACAGCAAGAACCTGAGTCAGAGCAAAAGAACCAAGCTGAGACCATGAGGCAGGGTAGAAAAGCAGGGCCGAGATCCCGATGCAGAGATCAGAGAGAGACTTGGCTGGGGCTGGGGCGAGGAGCTACTATGGACAAAAGGCTGTATCCTTAATGTTTCCTGCTCCTGACTTGTTAGCTTCACTAATCAACCCCATACTCATGAGTATTGCCTGTGAGTTCTATGTAGCCATTGCAATGGATTATCAAACCCAGCAGAGTAACAGAGGGCATAATAATAATAAGGACAGGGTAAAAGGACCGAGGATGAAGGCATGTCTGACCTCTGCCTTGTGGCAAGCAGCCTTGAGCTGGTGTGAAGTTGGCTTCTCCTCCTACTGAAGCAGGAGGACGTCAAATGTGGCCCATGCCTCTGCCACATTGGGTTCCAACGGTATTAAGAAACCGGTCAAAATCATTAATTAAAAAAAGAAGAAAAAGAAATTGGTCATATCTGACAAAACATAAATTTCACCACCAGTCATTTCTCACTCAGAGACCCTAGAGGGCCGAGATAACTGCTTCTGTGTGTTCCTGAGACTGTTAATCTTTATAGGGAAAGAAAGCCTCATCTTTCTCCCTCCAGAGTGGCTGGTGGGTTCAAACTGCCGACACGTTGCAGGTAGAAGCCCAATATGTAACCCATTATGGCACCAGGGTTGCTGTCAAACTCATAGTTGTAGCTGGATTACAAAGACCTTGAACTGGAAGACGAAGCGCGCAGTCTGCTAGGACCTATGGACAGATGATCTATAGTCACGGCAGCTCTCTTTTCCTCTCACTACAGCTCAAAGGGTCAAACCTGTCCACAGAGGGAGCAGGAAAGAGGGCCAGTATATTTATCTCAGTGGTCTTACAATGCCTCAGGCGGTTCACCCACCCTCCAGTCTGTTCTAAGA